TAGTGTAGTGTACATATGCTGTAGGTATAGTGTAGTGTAGCATAGTGTAGTGTAAGTGTACGTATGCTGTAGGTATAGTGTAGTGTAGCATAGTGTAGTGTAAGTGTACGTATGCTGTAGGTATAGTGTAGTGTAGCATAGTGTAGTGTAGTATACTCGTACAAGTTGCGTGTAGCATACTTGTACAGATATGTTCACGGCTAAGCCTACATATACGAACTAATACATGTGCAATCACGGTAGCACGCAGGCTACATGCACACTATGACGAAGACTACTAAACGCAGTACTAACCCAAGTTACCCAACACGCGCGTTAAAGACCGGGAAGAACAGACAGAGCGAAGACTCGCGATGCGCGAAACATGAAAACTAAAGACTAGTAATATAATGCGTCACCATGCAGACGCCTATCTGCATACTGTGCCCTGCTGCCCATCTAGACCAGTGCTTCTCAAACTGCATGGTGAATGGTTCACCAGTCACATTGGTTTGTTTTATGCAATTATTTTTGGGGTGAATAAAACTTACCAAAAACATTAGGATATTTAGTCGCGGGTGAATGAAATTTTGTGATAAAGACTCGAGAATTTTGTGATAAAGAATGACATTAAAATAGTTTAAGAAGCACTGCACTAGACCCTTGTGAACATCAGATGCTCAGACTATGACGCGCGGGTGGCTGGACGTGCGACGCTGGATTCTCTCTCTCGGAGCATCGTCACGGATTTCCAGTCTGCGGCCGTGACACCGGAGTTACGGCACGTAGCCAAACGAATACCAAATCTCTCGCTGCGTGGCGTCGTCGTTGTTGCCGTTGTTGTTGTCGTTGTCGTCGTTGTCGTCATTGTCGTCATTGTCGTCATTGTCGTCATTGTCGTCATTGTCGTCATTGTCGTCATTGTCGTCATCATCGTTGTCACCACTCCTCGCGCGAGAAGAAACAAAAAGAGACATCCTCCGTCCTCCGAATTCCGAATTAACGACAAACGGGAAATCCCGCGGGAACCACTCACCTCCCCGCCCCTCACCTCCAACCCACCGCCGCCTCGACACCGAGCGGGAAGCCTCCACGACGACCGCCCGCTCGCGGCGCCCCTGGCGGTGAAACGCGACGTTTAGTCCACCTCCTCGATGGTTGGTCCGCCGACAGCGCGCGCCATCGCCGCCGCTCGGTACCCGGCTCCCGGGGCCGCTTCCGCGCGCCCCGCCCCCTGCCCCGGGCATTCCTCGCGGCATTCTCCAGGCACTGCCCGCCCGTGCTCTGGTAGAGACTTGGGTGATGATCGAGTTGGCAGAGCTTCTTCTAGTTCCTGTCTGGCTTGTGGTTCGACTCGGTCCTTTTCTAGGCCGAGCTGGTGAGGAGGAGAAAGAGAGGCGGTCGCTTCGTTAGACGCGTTACTGATACAAGTGTGTATGACAAAACAACTACGAGGATTGGATGTGAGCGAGAGAAGGGACAGGGGAGAGAGAGCAATGAGAAGAGACAAAGGGAGAGAGAGAGAGAGAGAGGAGAGAGAAAGAGAGAGAGAGAGAGAGAGAGAGAGAGAGAGGAGAGAGAGAGAGACGAGAAGAGAGAGAGAGAGAGAGAGAGAGAGAGAGAGAGAGAGAGAGAGAGAGAGAGAGAGAGAGAGAGAGAGAGAAGAGAGAGGGAGGGAGGGAGAGAGCGAGAGACGAGAGAGAGAGAGAGAGAGAAGAGAAGAGAGAGAGAGAGAAGAGAGAGAGAGAGGAGAAGAGAGAGAGAGAAGAGAGAGAGAGAGAGAGACGAGAGACGAGACGAGAGAGAGAGAGTCAACTGCCAAACTACAGATCCCGAGCAGCATTAAGAAAATGCCCGATATTGCCCGAGTTAATGAGGTTAACTCGACCGACTCAACCAATCACGCCTCGGCTATTGTTTATAGGGGGAAGTATTAGCTCTCCCGTATTGACGTGGTGTTCCCTGCTGTGGGGTCTGGTTTACATTAAAAGCTGTTACCGTTTATCACCAGTTATTACGAGTTATTACAGTTACGGTCCTCGTGACCTTTGAACGCCTACCTGGTTGGAGTCAAGCCACTTGATGGTCTCATCACAGTTGTCACAGATGGTCTTTCTGTCCTCCTCGGATATCTTATCCTTCAGCTTCTCATCCTGCACCGTCTATGAAATAACGTCGACGACGTACGATGTAGAGACATCATAGAGAGAGACTATAACCTACGCTAGTGATAATAACATATCAGAAATGAACAAATACGTTTTTATTATATATATAAGCTCCCGAATATATTGTAAGACACACGTGCACCGTTGCACGTGCATCAACAACGTACGATCGAGACATTTTACCACGACACATAGTAGGTGCTGTAGCCTACAATGACCGACGTGTGCACAGGCACTTGGAGCGTTTCAATAAAATATAATGCTAAATAAATACAAAATCTAGTTACTACCAAAGTCTTAATGTTTCTCTACTCTCTTTCGCCTATTATTGCCAACAATTTCTTGTAAATGCTCCTGCAACACACATGTACACCGTGTGCACGCTGCCGCACACTGACACATGTATATATTGGTTGTAAATAGATTTCGTATTTATTTAGCATTATATTTTATTGAAACGCTCCAAGTGCCTGTGGACATGTGCCCATATACTGCGCACTATAAACGTTATGCATCCGGAGCTCTAGCGGCGCCCCCTGCGAATGCTCACCTGTTTCATGCTGAAGCAGTAACTTTCGAGAGCGTTCTTCGCGGTGATCATCTCTCGCTGATTATCGTCCTCGGCCTTGTACTTCTCTGCGTCGTTCACCATCCGCTCAATGTCATCCTTGCTTAGCCGACCTGACGCAAGGGGCGTTGACAAACACTGTTAGACATGGTGACTTCCTCTTCTAGTCAGGTGCCTTAGCTTCATGATCATTACAGAGCTGACAAAAGCATCAAACTTGGCACAGTTGTAGCCTATGGCAGTACTATAAATATTAGAGGGGGTGCTCAATGTAGATATTCCTTAGACAAGGCTCGACACTAACTTTTTTTTTCAGTGGCCCGATCGGGCCAC